GGTTGGAACGCGCCAACCAGCGCGCGCGAGCAGGCGGCGCGCACATTAGCGCGCGCGTGGGGTGACGGGCGCCAGCGAGTCCGCAGCCTTCAGGGACTAGGCGTCGTGGGACACGCGCACGAAAGGCGGTCGCGCAATAAGGAAGCCGAGAGTTTGGGGGCGTGTGAATTACTTGGGCATCAAGTTGTGCTTGGTGTGCAAGTAACTTGGAGATCAAGACCTTCTCGTTTATTAGGATTCTACTAGATATTTACTTTCCTTATTGCTTTATAATATCTAGATTATTTAGGTTAATTAATATTTTATTGCTTTATTAGAGTTATAGTTATATTAGGATTAGATCTAGTTTGTGCCTATATAAAGGCCCTTCCCCTATGTTATTTATCATCTTGCAAGAATTAATAGAAATCAAGAACTTTTGTTCACTTTCTCTTTGCTTTAGTCATTTCACCAAAATTCTATTGCAATTATATTCGTTAGAAAGGCTGCGAGTGTGCGACTTCCTAACATCTATCGAGCGATTTAAGGCGCGGGAGCGTCTTGTCGACAGGCGGGACACACGATCTTCATCATTGGTGCTTTCATTGAGAGGGTTTAGATCGTGTGTCTTTTTCTTCCCCATTCTTTTTTATTTTCGTTTTTTTTTCTGTTTTCGTTTATTTAAAAAAAAAATAATATTTTGCGTGTGTTTTGTTCAAAAAAAAAAGGAGCTTATTTATTTTGTAGTGTGCGTGAGTTTCAGAAAAAAAAAAGCTTTTCCTTGATTTTCTTTTGGGTTGTGCGTGAGTTTGTTTGGGAAAAGGAGACAAACAATTATCATTGTTTTGGTTGATAGGTGAGAGATTTGGTAATTTTGGGAATTTGTTTTGACGAATTGGATTTATTTAGGTTGGCACCGTAAGTTTGGGGGTAAGGAATTTTGTTTTGCCTTGTGTAACGTGGGATAGCATTGTATTAGGATTTCTTGTGGGGAGATTACGTACTAGGAGTTTTAGACTTTTAGCCAAATAAATCTCTTTCATCACGAGTCCTCGAGCAAAAGAGAGAAGGCAAGAAAGGAAGGACATGGCCAATAAGGAAGTAAAGGAGCGATTGGACAGCCTTGACGTTCAAGTCAAGAGCATGAGCGAAACTATGGAGGGAAGGCTCGGATCACTCGATGAAGGACAAAGCAGCACCAACGCAGCAGTGGCGCGACTTGAGCAACGCCTGGAAGAGGTGCTGCGTGGTTTCCAACAGCAACAGCAGCGGCAACACGGCGTACCGCCGCGACCACCGTCCCCAAGGTGTGAAGGAAGATGCCCATACGAACGGCCGCACGATGAGTACGAGCAGGAGCGTGAGGACGATTTCGAGCGGCGATCCCAGGCGTCCAACTACCGAGACCGACCAAGACTTGACAAACCGAGGCTCACGCTGTCCACCTTCACCGGCACCGACCCCGACGCATGGCTTAACCGGGCTGCACAATACTTTGAGTTGAACGTGACTGAAGGGAACGAGCGGGTACGATACGCG